TCTCTCTCTCTCTCTCTCTCTCTCTCTCTCTCTCTCTCTCTCTCTCTTTCTCTTTGGCCTTCATCCTCACTGGCAGTTCCAGTAATCCCCCCCTCAAACACCCTGACACACTACCCGCTGGGACTCCCAAATACCAGGCTTTCCGGGATTGAAGCTGTGATGCGGCGCAGTAACTGACTGGGTCCGCCTTCCTGCACCCGCACCGGGAAGAGGGAAGTGGACTACACAGTGAACTCCAACAAGGCCCGTCCCGTCCGCCTCATCTCCCTCCCCGTAATATTTTCCTTGCCCCGTAAATTCCTCTGCGTCATGCCCACCCCAACCACAGTCCACCTTGTCCTAAATATCCCCGCAGTCCCCCAAGCCTCTGAGAGTTTCATTTAAAAGATTAACCCTGGAGAAAACCCTTGCTCCTAATTTGAAGTGTCTGCAAATGGGCTGGGCATGTCTGGATGCCTTTTCCACTTTTCATAGCAGAAAAGACATCGATGATTATTAGTATTTTTAAAGTAAAAAAGCTATTCCTTTAAATAGCCTTGGCCCCAAAATAAAAGGATTACTAAATAATTAGCAGGCATTGAGTGTTAACCAGATGTTACTGGTTCGTAGAAAGGGGAGAAAAAACGCAAAACCAAATATTGTCTCCTTTCAGCCCAAAGGTTTGGAGCCAGACATTCAGACTTTTGCGTCTGCTTTTATTTTAGGGTGAAAGAGATTGCATATACATAAATAATAAATGAGCATAATTTAAAACACCCCTTCTCAACTGAGATTTCTAAAACTGTGATCTCTGAAGTAAATCCAATACCCTGTGGAGAAAATGCAGTGAGGAGTTGAAGGGAATGGGGCACACAGGCCTCTCAGACAGCATGTCGGTGGCTGTACAACGAAACAGTTCCTGGGCCTCCAGTCCAGGCAGGGAAGGGAAACAGCTCTGTGGGCAGCAATCTGTAAGTGTGTGTGTTAGAGGTAGGGAGGAATGGCTTGTTTTCTGTTTTCCATAGTGAAAATGGTCAGACTGGCTCCCATCCATAGACTGCAAGTTGGAACCAGGACTCAGTTTATATCAGTGGTTCTGGAATTTGGGATTTCTTCTGCCCATTTGAAACATACTGGCTCTTGGAAGGGTCCCTTTCTCCAGCACCCAGCTGCACAAAGGTGCTGTATGGAACATATTGTGTACCTGATAGAAGCCACTAGCAAGCAAGCAGTCACGCTTTGCCCTAACCAGTCTCAATGCGGTCAAAGCCCAAGCTGTGACCGGCGGGCCAGGAAAAGCTGGCTAAGAGCCTCCCAGCGAAGCTCCCCGAGTGGCCAGGCTCCAGTGAGGCTGGTTGGGCCTCAGCTCCAGTCCTCAGTGAGTCTGGTAAAGGCCTCCCTGCCCTCCATGTGGGCACACAAAGATGCAGAGAATGCCCCCTAATCAGATCTCCTAGTCAGCGGTTAGCGACAGGCTGAGAAGAAAACCAAGGCCGCCGCCATCCGGTCGTGATCATAACCAAGGCCTTGTCTGCGCAGCAGCACACCAGGCCCAAACCCACGGGCCTCAGCAGCCACCCCACGCGAGCCATTCCTCGGCAAACGTCCCAACCTCTACTTGAGTTGCAGAGGAAAGTGAGAGAGTCTCTAGCCTCTCCTGAAGTCAGCCCTGGGCTCCTCCCCAAGGATGCTTTGGGAAGGAGATAAGGAGGTGAAATAGAATCTGACAGAGATAGAAGATGGGAAAAAAAAAAAAAAAAAAAAAAAAGGAAGAAAAGAAAGCAGGAAGGAGCAAAGGAAAGAAAAGAAAAAAGAAGGGATAAAAGAGGAAGGCTGGAGGGCGAAAAGAAAGAAGAAAAGAGGGCCAATTCCTAGCAGAGGCCAGGCTTACAGAGAAAAGGGTAAGTGACAAGGCCAGGATCCCAGCCTCTGCCTGTCCTATCCTTCCTAGTCTCTCTTAGGAAAGAAACTTCACTGGCAGAAGTTTCTTTCCTAAGCCCACACCCGGAACTGGGATGTCTGTATGTGTGTTCCAGCCTTGCAAGAGAATGGCAGGAGGTCCCTGGGCAGGCGCAAGCCTTGAGTGGGGGAGGCTCAGGATGGAAGCGCGCCCCTGACCTTGAATGGCCCAAGGCCCAGAATTCCTACCACGCCCCTGGCGTCCGAGAAGAAGCAGCTAACCTGACCTTACCTGCAGTGAGCCAGGTGGAGGTGTGGTGGAAGGGGAAAGCCGGCCTTCTGGCACAGCACGGAGAAAGACACGAGGCTCCTGCGCAGGGAAAGCCGAGGTTGCCACCGCAGGCCTGGCACGACCAGGGCCGTGATGCCCCGCCCGGCCCGACCCCCCGCGCGCACAGGTACCTGGAGACGATTTCAACTGAAGTAATGAAGGCAGTGTCGTGCTGTCGAGAGAAAGGTGGATCCCAACAACAGGAAACTACCTAAATCACCGACCAGTTCTGGTGCTGCCTGCGAGCAGGGCTGCCTCGCCCGCCGCCGCCGCCGCCGCCGCTGCCGCTGCCACCACTGCCGCCACCACCGCCGCCAAGGAGAGAACCCTGCGATCGCGCCCGGCCCAGCCCAGCCCCTAGACAACCTGCACCCGGCGCCGTGACGGAGTGCCCCAGGCGGCCGCAAATGCGTCTTAGGGGAAGCCTCAGGCCCCAGTAAGGTATGCCTGGAAAGGAGAGGGAGGGAAAGAAAGGGAAGAAAGGCAGGAGGAGAGGAATAAAGGCGGGGAGCAGGCGAGACGAGAGCTGCTCTGAAGAGCAATGTGCGCTCTGCTTTCCCAAATCTTGCCGCCCAGCGAGCCGGCGCCGAGAGGCGGCAGCTGTGGAAGACTCGAAAGCGCCAGGGACTGTACGGAGCCCGGCTCCCTGTCTGGCCGCGGCCTCCCACCGCTCGCTCTCCCCCTCCTCCCTCCTAGTTGCTGGCCCGCCGGGGCGCGCGCTCCCGCGCCCCCTCCCCCTAACGCCCCCCCCAACTCTGGCAAGCAGGAAACGCGTGGCCCTACCGAGGGCCGCCAGGTGGGGGAGGCCGTGCTGGGGGAGGGGGCGGCCCCCATGCAGCCCAGCCGGGTCCACCTAACGGCTGCCCCCAGCGCTAGGGATTCACTGTGGGCCATGCCTCCTCCACGATTCAGATTGAGGGTCATCTGAGACCCAGACACCCGCAAAATAACCGGCCTCTGCCAGCCTCCCTGGGGCTCCCGAAAGAAATCCTGTTTGGCTTCCTCTGTCTATGCAGCTCCCCTCTCAACTGAAATCACTGGTCCAAGACAGCCACAATCCAGATATACTAGCAAGTCATAAAACTGAACAAAAGCCGACAAACCTTACAGCACCAGGGCTATAGGGCCCAGACAAATTACGACCGTCTAGGTAATATTTAAATAGATGCCTCAAGTAATTGCAGGGGGCTCGGGTTAGTCCTCCTGTTGTAAAAGTGGTGAACGGGATAAAGTGGAAGGTGAAGATAAGAAGTCAAAAAAGAGGTAAAATTAAAAAGCTTCATTCCACAGCTTTTATTCTATAAGAACATAAACATCGTCTTTTTCCACGCACAGCAGCAATACAATATTAATTTATTCTGATTTAAGATTAGAAGTAAATAGAGCTAGAACTAACATTTATAATAACGATAGAATGCATTTGCTTAAAACAAGATTGGCAATTCTTCATAATAATAGACATTTATACAGATTTGTATTTATAGTTTTTTCTTTTTCTGCATCTACAGGTTTGACCCTTTTATGCATGTAACTTCACAGTATAAAGGAAATCTAAACAATGTCTCCCTTCTCTAGTTTATTCCGCTTACCCCAGTCCTCCTAGGCTTCTGTGAGTTTCAGAAAGCAAAAATGTAAAAAAAAACTTTTTGTTCAAGGTGATTTAAAAAAGCAACTTCACAAGATAAGGAGAATTGTGGTGTGCTTGTCGCATGTTACCAGTGGTAACTATTTTAATGACCAAAAAAATCCACTAATTCCACATGTATAAACAAAACTATATTATTTATCTACAGCCAGAAGGATATGGAAATTTAGAGGTAAATGAAACATTTTAGTCAGGAAATGTAAGACCTTACAGAAACTGGAAGAGAAGTCCCCTTCTCTTGGTAATTTTTTTTTCTTTTTAAAGCTGGGATATCTTACAGAGGAAGGAAAAAAATAATCTTTCTGACTTTCTTTCTCACTTTTTAAATCAGCCAACGTCAAGCCCGTTTGCCAACCTACATGTCCATGCCTGCAAGCCCTTCTCTTGGCCAAGGAAGAAAGGAAGAAAGAAAAAAGAAACGCAGGGGCCTGTATCCCCTGATTAAGCACAGCGTAGCACTCCAGGCAGACGTGCCCAGTGGCGGCTCCTTGCACCATTGACCTCAGGCCAGACACCTCAGCGCCAACAATGGGACCTCGGCCTTCCGGCTAGGTTTGCCCCAGGCTGGGCAGGAAACCAGCTCGCCGAGGACAGGGGCCATTTCCAGCAGAGTGGGACCCCAAGACAGCAAACCAGCCCAGTCACGACTTGACACTTAGGACAATATCTATCTCTATAGAATTTTAGCACGATATGGCTTTTTCCCCCAGAAAACAACAAATAAACCAGCACCAAGCAAACACAAAGAAACAAAAAGTCAGAACAAACCAGCCCTGCACAGATGTAACGGCCCAGGAGACGGCGAGAGTGGGAGGGAGGAACAGGGCTCCAACACAGGTGCGGGTTCCTGGGCAGAGGCTGAAGACAGAGGGAGGGGACCAGCGCTCGGGAAGTGGAAAAACCGCGTCGTCTGGAGCTTCATCAGGAAAAATTAAAGTTGGCTGTGAGCTCCCGGATCCGGTTTTCTCGATTCATTTTCTTCAGTTTCATCCTGCGGTTCTGAAACCAGATTTTCACTTGTCTGTCCGTGAGGTGGACGCTGCGGCTAATCTCTAGGCGCCGCTCTCGAGTAAGGTACATGTTGAACAGAAACTCCTTCTCCAGCTCCAGTGTCTGGTGCTTCGTGTAGGGGCAGCGCTTCTTCCGACCACTCTTTGCTGTGAGCCAGTTGGCTGCGTTTTCACCTTTGGAATTACCTGGCGTGTAAGAGAATAAAGAGGGGAAGATTAGGTCGAGGCCACAAGGACTGGCTGCAGGGGTGAATTGCCTCCATTTCTCCCATAAGAGAGATGTCCCAAGTCACAGAGAAGAGAGTTGTGCCCCCCGTTTTGGCTTGCTGAGAGCAAGCAGTTCCTCCAGAAATCGAGTGGGCCTTCAATCTACACCACGCTTCCAATTTACATTTTCCCCACTTTCCCAAACACCTGTTTTAGCACTAAGCCGTAGGTGCTTGCAGAAGGAAAGGCCTGGGAGGGCAGGCTGTACATCTTGAACTTAACGCTTTTCTCTGCTTCTTGCCATATGGCAGACTAACATTTCCTGTAGCCCCCAGGCTAGGAGCACGGGGTGCTTACTTGGAAGGTGGACCGGGCAGCTTGGCTGTCTCACCCGAGGGCTCTGATTGCCCAAGACTTGATAAGAGGAGACAGAAGAGCATCCTTGGTCCAATGAGGAAGGCACGAAAAACGATTGGGGGTCAAGGGCCCTCCCTCAAGTCTCTCCAGGAGCCAGGGGTAGGTAGCTGGGCGATTCCGAGTTCCAGAGGAAGCGAAATGGCCCTTCTCTGGCTCTCAGCTCAGGGTCCCCAGCTTCCAGCCCGGATTTGCCTTTTCTTCTCCCCGCAACGAAGATTCCCGCCCCTCAGCAACTTTGAAAAAAGCATGGGGGATCGTAAACTCGAACTTCGCCGGTTAATGGGCTTATTTATTGGCGCTGGCGGCTGCTTATTTTGGATGCCTTACAAACATCCGTGCTATCTGCGGGCGAGCTACTTTCCCTCCCTCCCCCCACCCCCCCGCGTGGGCCGCGCCGCGCAGGCTGGGCAGAGACCAGGGCTTGGGGTGCTCCCGGCCACAGGGAAGAACGCACAGGAGGGGGCCTGCTCTCTGGTGTCCTCGCCCCAAGTTAGGGGGAGCTGCGGCCAGCGCCGAGGACGTCTTGCTGTGGGGCGCTAAGCCGGACATGAATTTTACTGCGTCCCCACGCCCAAATATTAAAAAGCAAGTTCACAAGGTCAGCCTGCTGCAGCTTGGGCCAAGGCCGGCCGGCTGCCGCGCGGGCTCCTAGTTCTCTGATTCTTTTCCCTGCGTCTGCCTGTGTGCCCGCCTGACTGCAGCCTTCTGTAGCCCTGCTTACCCAGGGAGTCCTTCTCCGGCGAGGCTTTGCTGCTCTCGGAAGGGGCCGGGGAGAGCTCCTCCGCCGCCGAGGACGACGCGTGCGCCTCCTCGTCGCCCTGCGAGCCCCCGCCGCCGCCGCAAGCCAGAGAAGGAGGCGGCGGCGAATCGAGGGCTCGCTCCTTCCGGGCCGCATCGGCCGAGCCGGAGGCTAGCGCGGGCGGCGGATCGAAGCCGCGCCCGGGGGGCTGCGCGGGGAACGGGCCCGCCCCGAGCTGCTGCGCGCCGCCGCCGCCGCTGCCATAGCCCTTGGCCGTGCCGTAGGCCTGTGAGAGGCGGAAGTAGCCAGGCACTGGCACCCCGCTGGAGGCACCCAAGGCGCAGCCGTCGGGCGGCGGGCCCCGCGGGAAGGGACCCAGTTCGGCAGCGGTGGCCGAGCCTTTGGGACATTTGTCCGCGGAGTCGTAGAGGCAGTAGGAGCTCTCTTCTTTGATGTTCTGCGTGAAAGAGCACGAGGTGGCCTGCGGCGGGGGCTGAGGTGGTTGCGGCGGGGGCTGCGGCTGCTGCTGGGGCGGCGGCTGCGGCCCTTCGGGTGGCTCCATCCGGCAAGACCGGGGCGCGTCTAGCCACAGGTCTATGGGCGCGGGCCCATAGCCGTGCGCCCCAGAACCTAGACCCCCGCCACCACCACCGCCGCCCGGCGACGCCGCTTCATTGCGCTTGCCGCCCAGCGTGGGGAAGAGCCCACAGCTCTGCAGCCCGTAGGGCAGGTCGGCGGCAGGCGGCAGGTAGACCCCTCCGTGGGCGTAGTAACCGCCACCGCCGCCGCCCCCCGCGCCACCGCCACCGCTGCCTGCCTCGCCTCTGCCCGAGCTGATGAGCGAGTCGACCAAAAAAGAGTTCGCGGCGGGGCTCTCCGAGCATGACATTGTTGTGGGATAATTTGGCGAAGGGAGCAGATAGCCCTTTCTGGCTGACATTTCTTGTGCAAAACATGCTGAATACGATTAGCAATCCCCCCGCACCGCGGCGGGCGCCCGCAGCCAATCCCGAGCCAGAGTTTCCGCGCGACCACTCCCAGTTTGGTTTCGTAGGCTCGAGGCCGCTCTCCGAGGGCGCCCTCGGAGCCCGCGATTGATATAAATATGTAATCTGTATTGATGGGCCAGGAGACGCACCCCCGACACCTCAGCCCGAAGGCCAGGAGCTGTGGGGGCTGCCCCAACGTGGCTGGTGGGGGACCTGGCCACTGGGCTCACTCCGCCCCTACCCGGACGTAAGCCCCATACCCGCGTCCGTTTGAAGCCTCTTGGGCCCCGCGCAGTTAACAAGTGGGGTGTTTATGGTGCACATCCAGTCCACTTTGGGTGCTCACCATCCCTGTCACAGAAGCTGCCACTAGTCTCCGGTGTGCTCTGACCACTGAAGGGGACATGTCCCGGACTCACACGCTTCCCATTGAGTTCTGGACCTGGAGCTGGCCCCTTGTCTGAATTCTGGCTCCCCAAAAGTGGCAAACCTGGCGCTACGGCTGTCAGGATCCTCAGAGTGTCGGGAGCCCAGAGTGACTTGCCTCTAATTTCAGCATCCTACAGATTTTCCCCAAAATTCAATGGCTGTTCCCTGGCCCCTAACCCCCAGGACTTCTCTCCCTCAGTCCGTTGATCCAGTTAGGATCTTCTCCTCCGGTGCTGTGCTCACCTGGCACGCTTTCTCTACAACTCCTGTCAGCGGACTTTGGTGGGCTGGCTGGAGTAGGGGTGGGAAGCAGAAGACGCCCCTACTCCCACTCTCAAGGCCAGAGCTAGGTCCAAGCATCCCCTCATCACCCAGAGAAGACTCTAAGCCAACAGTCATTTCGGGAAGTAAAATGGTGGCCCTGGGATCCTTGGCTGGCCCAAGGGGGAGACTTGGAAGGGTGTACACGGTGTCACCTCTGCTGCCTTATGCTCCTGCTCTCCTGTTAGCTTTGGCACTTATATGCTCCTGGAGGCTACAACAAGAAGCAATGTCACTACACTCCTGCCTCTCTGTCCCCTCCCCTCTCCCCCTCCCTCCCATACCCTCCGCTAGGGCAGTCCTAACTCCTGCAATGTGTGCATTTTAACGAGGCCCCGGTGAGGAAATCCGTTCCCTGCTAGGCCGGGCTGGGCTTCTGGCCCTGTTATAAGAGCATGTGGAGGCCAGGCCCTTTGCTCAGCAGACTCAGGGGCGCTGTTTTAGCCAGCTGGAAATGGCCGGCCTGGGGTGCTAGCCCCCAAGTGTGACCCTCGTACTAGTCTCAGGAAATGGAACGTTTTCCGGCCAGATCCAATGGATCCCGGGAGGTCTCTGCCTTGTCCCTGGCCTGTGGGCTACAGGTCTCCAAGATACCTCAGGCCTGTCTGCCCCTCCGGCTACAGTTGGAGCTGGCATTGCTGAACGCCGGCATCCCAGAAAATAGACCGCTCAGGCCGCTGCCTGAGGCTGGGAAAGACTTCTGCATCCCGGTCATATGTGCGGCACTTTGCCTCCTTCCTCCCAGTGTGAACGCAGCCCTGGCTTCTGGAGGAAGAGGAACCTGAGAGGACCCTGAAAGCGCACGAGAGAGCTGGCTAGGTAGAGCTCCAGCTCTGGCTTCTGAGATTCCAGAAGCTGCGGTCGCTGCGGACCGTGGCGGCTCCGAGCTCCCGGCCCAGAAGGCCGCTCCACCGCTAGCGCGGCGCTCCAGCCACTTCCACCTCGGCGCCCCACGGTGACCCGGCCCTGAGGACTGAGCATCAGGGTGCCCAGGAGGAGGATGGAGAGAAAAATAGAGAGATAGAAGGAGAGACGGACAGAAGGAGAGAAAAGAGAGAAACAGGAGGGGAGAGAGCACAAGAGACCCAGCTCTTTCCAGCCTGAAAGGGTTTTTAAGCTGCAGCAGCTGCTTAGAGGAGTCAAGACGGGGTCTGTGCCCTGAGATCATTAACTCTCCTTTGCTCTTCGCATGCTCCTGAGCCCAAAGCCAAGGCAAATTCTCTTCCTGCTATGCCCATGAGGCGGACGAACCTGAGTGCAGAAAAGCTTCAGAGCACCGCAGCCAATGAACCTATATTTAGCTTCCCGGATCTGCCTGGTCCTTACCCTGCTCACCAGAGGGGTGGAACTGGCTGGGACTGTTGCCCTTAACAATGCCACTTGGAAATGCCACAGGCTGGGGACTGCCTAGGAAGGAAGCTTTGCTCTTCAGCACTACCCATGCCTCTAAGAAAAGCTGTGTCATTTGGGAAGTAGGTCCCAAGAGCATAGAGGTTTCCTCTCAAAAAATGAGCCATATCAGGTTAGTGGGCCAGGACTTGGGCCTAGAACCATTCCTCTCCAGGCTAAATGCAGAAAGCAACTTCCTCCAGGAAGTTCTGGGAAAGTCCAGTATATGTTTGAGATTGTGGAGACCACTTGAAGTAAGAGGCAATGATCTAAACCTATCTTTCTTAACCTTTTAGGGAGTCAGGACCATTTTGGAAAATCTAAGTAACTTTTGACTTATTCATTGAAAAATGCGTATCTGTATATTTCCACAATTTGATCCATCATTTCGAAGGAATTCACACACCCCTCAAAGTCTTTTCCTTGGGTCTTCCAGAGTCCCCTAGTCTCCTGGGACTGGGCGGCCCCTGCCAATTTGGCTGGTAAGACAAGCTGGGTGCCCTGTGGCAGGCAGCTCAGGTCAGGGCCCTGAAGGGCAGCCAAATGGGCTTCTAAGCTGGATAGGATCCAGGGACTTGCACGTGCCAACAAGGTTGCAAACGTCAGCTTGTACTGCATCTGCTACAAAAGGCTGCCCTGGCGGAGGAGTAGAGGGGCTGGAAGGCCTGCCGGGCCTCGCAGGCCATGGCATTGGCACTTGGGTCTTCAGTGGCCTTTTTGTGAAGAGCCAGATGTGTTTCTTTAGCATGACTTTTTCCCGCTTGTAATAAGCCAAACGGGATGCTGGGCTTGAGCTCTTTTTTGCTTAAAAAAAAAAAAAAGAGCATGTAAGCTCATGTATGGGAGCCCTCTCTGGCCCAGGACTGCCTTCCAACTCCCACCAGGGCTTGTTGAGCGGGAGATACTGCCGGTGCACCCGGTCGGCTTCTGCTGGTTTAAATGAAAGGATATCCACGCAGCAGAAACTCAAGTTAAATGCCTCCTTGGCCCTCTCGGTTGGTCTCCTAGCCACTAGCAGCCCAACCGGCCCCCAAGGCTCCCGTGCTCCCTATACTTTAACACTGAGGTGTTAGATTTCACAATAAAATATTCCATTTATCGATCGCCTCCGCTTCCCCCGAGATTCCTCACCCCAAGAGATTAAGAAAGCAATTCAATTGTAGTATGGGTCGGCTTCCAAGCACTTTTCCTCCCTCGTGCTCATTTGCCTTCTTTCTTTTTCGCCATTCTTCCCAACTACTCAATTTCTCCCTCTCCCTCAGGGTATCTTTGACCTACACCTTCGGTGCCTGCTTGCCTCAACCAGGCCTTATGCAGCGGTTACGAAGCCGCCTCCAGAGCCCATGTTTTATTTAGGAGTAAATATTGCCCATTTCTACCTGGGTAATAACCCACCAGCCCTATGGAGCCAAAGTAAACACCAGGCCCATGGATTAAGACCGTTGGCAAGGATTAGGCTACAGTTCACTAGGTACTCCTGAGTAGGCCCTTGTAAGAAATAAACTACTATTAAAAACAAATTCCCAAAGAAAAAAATACTAGGTCCTGAGATTAAAACTGCTAGTAAACAATTTGTATCTGGAGGGCATTCTCAGTGCTTTCATGACTGAATTATCCAGCGGTGGAGGGGGGCTTCGGTCCCACAGAGGAAAAAATAAACGCTATTTTACATATCCGGCTTTATAAAAAAAAATTAAAAATAAAAAATAAAAAATCATAGCTTCTCAGATCCACACATTTCTGCATAGTTAGAAATTTTTTCCACAAGCAATGACGTTCTTTTAAAGTTTTTCTAAATCCAACCATTGAGATGGCCCTTCCCCTGTTAGGGAAGTGTTGGGGCCTTTTCACACACCCCTTGAATTGCAATATTCTTAGTTTTGTTCATAATAAACCGCCTCTGGCCTTAGAACTGGAGGCGGTTCTGTGATTGCAGGGAGGGCTCCCGCTGCAGAGAGCAGCTCACTGGGTGAGCGCTCATTCCTTGTCTGGTTGCTTTGCTCTGGTATAGTTTGGGACCTAGTCCTCAGCAAAGACTAGTAACTATGATAGGCAAAATTTACTCAATAAACAGGCAATACTTGCTTCTCTGGGATTCCTACCGCTCACCATGCACTGTATATTTGGGAAAAGAAAACGATGTTCAGAAACGAATGGAAAAATAGTGGAAAAAATTAAACATAAGAGAAAGGGGGAATTTGAATCCGGCCCCCAAAATGTAAGTTAATTTTTATTGTTTAAAATGTGCTTGACGACAACCCCGATAGAGTGATTGCTCCATCAAAATTTATCCTCGGTTGCAGCTTTTAAAAAATGTGTTGGTATTTACCAATACATTTTTGCATATTTGCAAAATATCTTTTACAAAAGATCTAATTTTCACATGTAAGAAATTGCCACAAAATCCCAGCGGGGTTTATAACACGTACTCCAAGTTTGCAATACAGAGACTTGTCTGGCAGTCTCAAAAATCACTTGCGACTTCTCCAAATTGACCGTTTTTCAAACAAAGGTTTTCTCTACGCTGTGGGCAGACCTATAGATGCACCTAGTCGGAAACCAGGGACCTCCAGAACGTCTGGCCCTGGGAATAATCCCGCCTTAGCGGCCCGCAGGCTTCTACCACCCCATTGTTTAGAATGGAAACTTTCTGTTTTCCTCAGCCCCGTCACCTCCTTTTTTTTTTTTTTTTTGCCCTCCCACAACCCCCTATCCCAGCACAGCTGGAACCCTTTAGCCTAGACGCCTCTCATCCCTGGCTCATTCTATTCTGAATATTTCTACAAAACCGAAAGATTCGCCTTGAATGAAATGCTGGCGCAAGAAGCTAAAATTCCCAACTTTCTACTTAGGCCTCCCCCTGCTTTCCAACCTTCGGGAGCAACGGGGTGGGGGCTGCCTACCGCGTCACTCCACAAACCCAGCCACGTTCCCGAGAGCCCTTACACGTCGGCCACCTCCTCACTCCCTCCCCACCAGACTGAAATTGCTAAACTTGTGGCCTCTTACCTTGACACATTTCCGATATCACTGCCAAGGGGGCAGTTGGCTTCTCCGCGCGGCGACGCTCGCGAGGCCTAGCGAATGCGCGTTGCTTTAAATTACAATACCAACCGCTTCTTGAGGGTGAGCCCCCTTTTTCTGATACGAAGGGGAGCGGGACAAGTGAAATAATGTACCGTGCTGCTCTTAGTATCAGAAGCGAACAAAGGCCAAGAATCACGCTGGGGTTCCCGGTTCCCCGGCGGCTTTGACATTGATCGGAAGTGCGCCATCTGGTGGCGGCTGAGCGCCTAGGCCGGACCGGAGCTCCAGCCCGGAGCCGAGAGAGGGAAACCGGCTCCGGAGAGAGAGAGGAAGAGAGGAGAGGATGTGTCCAGCCGCTGCTATTGAGATCTCATTTTTACATCTAAGAAATCGCTGCAAAACCCCAGCCGAGTTTATAGGGGCGCATTCCAAATATGCAAATTGGCCGGCCCCGGACGGGTTTACGACCACATTGTCACAGCCATCCGAGGATGGGCTTTTATAGGGCTCAGAAATCAAACCCGCGCCCGCCTGCCGCCCGCCCGCGAGCAGTCCTCCTGGCTAGACTCTCTCTAGCAACTTGAGAGACTTTGGTTAATCTTTAACCATGCCAAAGGAAGTCTTTCCCTAAACCCAGGCTTCCCAGCCCGCCCCCTCCTTGCCCCCCCAGGAGGGCCCTTGTTCGTCTCTGCGTGTCTGCCTATCAACCTAGACATTTATCTCCGGGTCTGTCCCACTCCCCTTTCAGCTGGATTCCCCCAGTCGCGCCAGTTAGACAAACACACAAACAAATAAACAGACTGGGGTCTGGGGCCTCTCTCCAAATGCGACCCTATCTGCTCTTCTGGCCCTGCCTGGGTGGCTGAAGAGAGGGTGGGGTGGGCAACAAAAGGCTCTGTCCTTTCAACCCTTCTCCTCAAGGTTATGGGTGATGTCCAATTTTAAGGCAGAAGTTCAAAGGCAGCAAACAAAGAGGAAACCGGAATCCTGTTTTTCCCAAAGGGAAAAAGCAGCCTCCACTGGGAGCTAGGGTGAAAGTGCCCTTAGAGGCTCCTGGGAGTCTGCTCTGCTTTGGAACTCAGACCGGGCTCCCTCTTGCTGAAGCCTCCATGGGGCCCTGGAAGGTCCCACGGCAGGCCTGCCAGTCCTGAGGTGAGTGAGGACAGCTGGAGTCTGACCCATTGGCCACCTCAAGCCCCAAGCCCCTCTGCAGGGCTGAGGTCGGTCTGAGGGGATAAAGTCCCATATTCCAGGCCCTGAGATACCCCTTCCCCAGGTGTTCGCTTCCTACAAGGACCTAGCCAACCACTTTGGCTAAGCCTGGTCCCTATTGGAGCCAATTTCTGACTCAGTCACCATCTCACCCCCTCAGGGGCCTGATAACTTGCCCCTGGGCTAGGTAGGGTGTGTTGGGGGGTGGGGGGCAGACATTTGGCAGTAAAAGGCGATCAGGGAGAGGAATGTCACACCAGGATACTCAAATTTCCACCGTCTTTATTTTCCTTGTGCCCTGTTCCCTGTATACATGCTGCGACACACATGGTGGGTAAGAAGCAGAGCTGAGGACAGGCCAACATTCCCAGTACAAATGGAGCTATCAGACATTTCTTAATATAGGGAGGCAAAGGGGATTCAGCAGGAGGGTGCCTGGCTTTCCCAGATGCGGTCCCCAGGCCGGGCAGGCCGGCTGCCTCTGAGCATTTCCCTAACACTTTCCAAATGTTGCAAGAGATTAAAAAGACCATTCTCAACACCTTTTCCACCCCCTCCAACACCCCAAAGGAAATCAATTAATGGCAAAAAACAAAACAAAACAAAAGTAAATTGGTTATGGTTCCTTTATTTACAAGTTTTTGAACACCATCCCTGTATGAAGCATACATTCAAATATTCTTAGCAGTGAGCGAGTTTAACCATGGAACACTGTAAACAGATAGAGCCTTTAAATATTTCCAACATCTTTTTTCCCCTCTACATTGCATCTTTTAAAATTCGCTTTGGTTCCTTCAGGGAAATATATATATAATAAACATTTATCTTTTAAAATAATTCCACCTCACTCTCAGGCTCTTGGAGGGTCACCGGGAACTTCCAAGCTCAGTTCCGGAGCCAATGAGGGCAGAGTGTGGTGCTGGAACCCGGTGTTTTGGGGGACTCAATGCCCTCATAGCCAAAGCTGGGGACCTGCTGGCCAGGCCCGCTGCTCCGCAGCCAGACACTGAGCAAATCCAAGCTTCATTAAGTGTGGTGGAGACTTCGCCAAACTGCCACACTCCACAGCCATTTCCTGCGGAGATCTCAGGGGCCAGTGGTCTGGCCGCAGCCTCTTGGCCTTTCCGTATCTCCCACCTCAGGGAACACTCCACTCTGCGATGAGGCTTTGGGCCTGAGTGGCAGGCTGGAGCGAAGAACCTTATTTGGTAGAAAGGAAAACCAGGTGGGCTGTAGGAGGCGGTGGCTAGGAACTCAAGCCTGGATCAGTGTGGTGGGTGGCTGGGAGGAGTGAAAAGACACGAACACCACCTGGAATCACAGATTTCTTCTCCCACAAGGTTTTGCAGCCCTCTTCTACCTCATAGCCACCTCTAAGTCCAGCCGCCGTTCACATTGGCTTTGGAAAGCAGCCTCATTCTGGGCACCTAGTAATCCTACCCCTTCCTCCTGCCCCTGTCCCCAAGCTGAACTGGGCTTGGAGAGCACACAGCTTTTTGACTCAGGGGTCCTGGGGGTGGGAAGGCTCCCAGTAGAGGGAGGATGTGGAGGGGTTAGCCTTCAGGGGACCTGGCAGGGGGCCCAGTCCCGAGTGGAGACCACACCCAGCCCGCAGCTCTGCAGGTTCCAAGAGTGAACCACCAGGGGTCCCAAACCTGTCATTCTAGCTGATGCACAGCTCTCAGAATCCAATGATTATTAGGAATCTTAACCACCAACATCTTAACCAAGAGAGTCCCAGGCCGTCTCCTGTGGGGCTATCTCCATGCATCCCTCTCTTGCACACCTTTTCTCAAAAGTCACCATGTGGCTTGACCTTGTCAAGGGCAAAATCTGCATATTATCTGCTGTGTATGAAGCCCCCCACCCAATTCCAGCTGCTGGAGCCTTAGAGGAGCGGATTCGCTGAGTAGTACTGTAAACGGTCTCTGTTAATTTTTTTTTCCTTCATTCTCCTGTTCTGAAACCAGATTTTGACTTGACGGTCAGTGAGGTTGAGCATGCGGGACAGTTGCAGTCGCTTCTCTTTGTTGATGTAGACGCTGAAGAAGAACTCCCGCTCCAGCTCTCTGATCTGATACTTGGTATAGGGGCAGCGCTTTTTGCGGGTGCGTTGACCACCTGTGGAGGGAGAAAAGGCAGGGGGTGAGCCAGGTGTAGGGGCTGCAATCCACCCCAGAGCCCATAGCTGAGGAGAACGGCTGCCACAGGAACTGGTGGTCCAGCCCAAGCCTCGTCAAAGTCTCCCCAAGCCCCTGCTTTTGTCGCTCAGACTGCGGGCTTGGAACGGGCCGCAGTTGGAGGCTCAGCCACAGATGAAAGCCAGCTCCCTAGATAGCCCCCCGGGGAAGCTGCTCCCGCTGCCCCCAGAACAGAAAGGAGGGCTTCGCATAGCAACAGGCGAGTTTGCGCTGCCTAAGCCTCTTTGAAAGCCGCAGAGTGGGGGTTGCCGGCTGCCTCTCGCCGGCCAGACTAAACAAACAGCCGCCTGCGGACATTTCACCTTCCAGCACCTGGGCTGCCCCTTCTCAAGGCAGTAAAGGAGGCTCCAGTCCCAGTCTTCCTCGGCTGCGGCCAAGACTGGGCAGTCGTTAACATCTGGGGCGGCTGCCGGGTCTTTGTCAGCCCAAGTCCTGGCCACCAGCTTCTGCCTCCTCGGCCAGCCTCCTGGCTCCCCTGAGGTGGGGAGGTGGCGGCGGAAGCCCCCTACCCTGGGCTTTCACTGAGCACCACGGCCACACAGCCACCCTGCACGCGGCAGAGCAGCGGCGCTATTTTAGGTAGGGTGAAGGGAAAGGGGGGTTCCCAAAGCTGCGGGCAGGCTCTACTTGCTCCCCCTTAAAAAAAAAAGACCCACAAGACCCCCCCAAAAAAATAATAATCACTTTTGACAGATTGAATAACAATTGTGAATAACATGCAGTTGGGCAGAAGGAGGCACATAATTGCCACCACGCCAGAGGAAAATGGCTTCCTTTGGACAAAAAGGCCAACTTTGGGTTAATTTGTTTCTTTTAATATATTGCTGGAGCTAAGCGGGCTACTTTATCTGTTAAATGCGCTCCTAGCGCAGTCGTTAAACAGCGACGCCTTTGAATCCCGGCCGGGACTGGAGTCCCGGCGCAACACATGGCTTTTATAAAAATCTCCGGATTACCTCGCTATCAAAGGCTCCCAGAGCCCTAGCAGGGGGAATTTACAGGCGCCCACCTCTGGCTCCCCAGCCCGGAGCTGGCCCCGAGCGGGGTCGAGCTGCCGGGCTTGGGAGCTGAGAAGGGAAAAAAGGGAAAAGGGGAGTTGTTTTTTTTTTTTTTTTTTTTTTTTGCAGGCATGCCTTGGCCGGTGGGTATTTCACGGCCAATTTCAGCACTCGCCACGTGATCCCGCCTTTTATAACAAAGTTTTGTTGGGGGAAACCTAAAGGCCCTTCATAAACCTTATATGCTTATAAAACAGCATATAAAAATTTAACAGCGGTGCTGCGCTAGATTTCCAACTCCCCTTTCATAAAGCGCAGGGCGCTGCCTTTATACGTACTGGAGCCGCCGGCCTTGTCCTCAGTGTGGCCGGAAGACGACTCAGGGCTGCTGCTGCTCTCGGGGCGCCGCCGCCGCTCTTTCTCCTCCGCCGCCGCCGCCACCTCCCGGCAGCCGCCGCCGCCGCTGTCCGAACTTGAAGTTGCTGGCGCGCCCGTGGCCGCCGCCGCTGCAGCCGCGGAGGTCGCCGTGGCCGCCGGGGGCCCCTTCTCGGCGCTCTTGTCCCCGGGGTAGTCGGAGGAAGCGAGGTTTTCCGGGGTGCCGTAGGCCGTCTCGAAAAACTGGTCGAAAGCCTGTGGCAGGACACCGTTCCTCCCCACGGTGCTATAGAAATTGGACGAGACGGCGGGGGTGGGGTGGTGGTAGACGTTGGCCGAGCTCTTGGCCAGCACGTCGCCAGGCACGCCGGCCGCGCTGGGCGCCTGTAGGCAGTCTCTGTGCACGAGCTCCTCCGCGGAGTAGCAGTGGGCCAGATTGCCGCGGGGGTGCCATTTAGTGGCGGGCTCAATGGCGTACTCTCTGAAGGTCACTTCGCGCACGGGTTGGACCTGGGGCAGGTTGGAGGAGTAGGAGTATGTCATTGGGCGCGAAGACGGGGTCTGGGGCAGAAAAGAAGGGAGGCTGGAGAAATCTGGACCCGAGACGTAGTAAGTACAACTTGGCAAATACATGTTAGAGGAGCAGGGACCACGCTCATCAAAATCCATCATTGGGCTACCTTGGGCTCTCCGCAGTAGCCGAGCTTAACATGATTCTCCACTGCAGCTGCCTCTTTGAAGCGGATCCGTGAAGTAGAAATTTGGAGACGTAAGCTGACGTGGAAATCTATCCCCATCCTTAGCAGGGAGGTGCTGGTCATGTGACCCGATGTTGAAATTGACAAGCTGCGAGCTAGTCCGGGCCTTTTTCCACCCCCCTTTCCTTTTTTTTTTCTCCCCTCCCCTCCCTCCCGGCTTCCTTTCTTTGTAGCCACCTCAGGGGAAGCAACAGATCGTCACTCGGTGTTCTCAACGAAAGCACGTAATCGCCGGTGTAACTCATGTTGGCTGGGGGGCCTCCCGGCGCGCAGAGAGGCTGGGGTGCGCCCCCATGCAGCATGCTAGTGCTCAATTTTAGGGTCCTGGTTCTCCAGTGTGCGGAGGGCGGTGAGAACTCAACTCTTGTTCTGCCCCCGCCAACCCGCAGCTCCCCGGGTGGGTGAGGGATGCCCTGGGCTGGGGATAGCCAGGTGGGAGCCCGTCGCTGTGTGACCTGTGATCTAGGAGTCTGTTCTCCTGGAGGCTCGCATTTGCAACCCTTCTTCGCAGCCCCCCCTCCCATAGACTTGCTCTGGGAAGCACCTCTGCCTCCGACCCTAGCCGGAACTCCTTCGGGGCCCGGGTTTGATGCCGTGGATGTGCCTGCCTAGTGGCTTGTCCGATTTGCACGGTGACTTGATTACACGCTCGCATTCATGGTCACTTCCGAAGCGCTTTAGTGCCGTCCGTCCCTAAACCGCCGACAGCCAGAACGGCTTCTCCCCGCTGTTTGTCACTGATCCGCAGGGCCGGGAAGGGCCTTCGTCTTACCCGGGATCCACCTCTCCCTTCATCTTCCCTGCCTGCCTCCTCATCCCACCTTCTGTCCTTGGACAAACCCCCTTCTTCTCGCTGCCTGCCGGGCTTCCGAGTGACTCGGCAGAGACAGAGGCACAGGGGCTGCTGCCCCGCTGCTCACCGGTCCACCCGTCTGCCTGGTCTTCTGGAGCTGAGGAGTCGGGAAACCATGCAATTGAGGCAAGCCTTGGGCTGTTTTAGAGGCGCTGACATCCGAGGAGCCTTCTCCTGGGTATGCTGCATCTTCGTGGGGGGCCCACCAGGCTGCTTGTAGAGCTCCAGGGGTGTGGGGAGAATGGGGGTGGCAAGAATGGGCTGAGAGCCAAGGAGAGGTGGCTGAGAAAGGGGTAACCTGCCTGCTCTCCTATTCGCCTTCCTTGCAATGTGTGAGAGTGAAAGCAAGGGATGGTGTAGGGCAAAAACTCAGAGAGCTCTGTGCCTCTCCTACTGCTTATTCCACAGAAGGACTACAATACCAGAGAAAGGAGAGGTGCTACCCAAACCCTGCACCTGGGGAGACAGGGATGCCTTGAAAAGGCTAGGTTCTGCTAAGGATAGAAACAGGCCATAGCACTACTAGGAGTCTAGCTTTCTTGGGAAGATGAAAAAATAAATTAAGAAGGCAAAATATGCTCCGCATCCTGCAGGATTGAAGGAGCAGTTTGGAGGAAGCGAAAGAAGGGAGAGGACACAGCGTGGCCAGGCAGGGCCAGGAGCTGAGAGGGGCCCAGACCTGAGGCCTCCCAACAACTCTTTTCTTGGACGGAGCTGGGGTGTTACTGAAGGAAAATGAAAAAATGAAAAAGATAACCTTTTCCTTTTCCCTCTCCAGGAAATAGCCAAAGGTATTTACATATCTTGGGGAGATTTAGAGTATAAACTCTAAGATCTTTGGCATTTAAGTGTCAACATCGATTTATTTATTTATTGCTGAGCTGACTGTAACTGACTCAATAACAAATCTAACCATGTATTGCACTAGAAAAGAAATATTTTCATTATGTATTTTCTCCAAATAATGGCCTACCATTGCATTTGAATACCTGCTGTAAATATCAATAATATGGAGTAATTACTCTGTAGTCGAGTAAACTAATTTATTAGCATTAATGTTTATGTGGCTCTCCACCTCCTCCCCCCCCCCCCCCACCCCTTACAAGGATTGCTCATCACAAATCAAGCTACTCGGACACATAGGTTTAATGAACTCTTTATTCAAGATTTGCTACAAGAACTTTCATGTCCATTGAATCCCTGAGAACTGAACTTGAAATTATTTGTGCATCTTCGGCTTGACATATTTGTCCACTGTGGCTTGTCCAGAGGGCAGAAGTGCTGTTGTGAGTGTGAAGGTCTAGTGGGAAGGAAGGTTATTGGAGAAGAGTAGCTTCAGACCTCCTAAAGCTGGGAAGCACATTTACAGAATTGCCCTGCAGTGAAAAAACTCTATTTCCAGCAGGGACCAACAAGGCAAAATATTTGTTTCTCCACAGCATCTCTTTTTTAGAGACACAATATAAAAGGCAGAAGAGAGGTCTCAAACAGCGGTATTCGAGCTGCTCCCCGGCTTGATTTTGGCTATCCCAAACTCTCTGCCTGCAGCCCACCCAGTCCTCGCCACCCCTACCTTCCAACAAAAGGAATGCATGAAGGGTTTCAGTGACTTTGCCATAACAAAGGCGCCACCATTGCGGGGCTCGCCCCGCCCCTGGGTGAAGGCAAACAAATTCTTGCACTTGTATTAGGGCTTTTAAGACCATAATTGAACCCGGGGGCGTCTAGGAAAACCGAAAACTGTTCTAGACAGACCTGCGGTTTTATAGCAGTTTTGGCAGTCAACTTCAGCTTGTGCCTGAGCAGACGGGGCTGTGGTGGCCCGCCAGCGGGGGACTCCAGGCCACCTCCCCCAGCGGCACGCAGCCCCTCTCTTAATTAGATCGGTTTTCCCCTGGTGCCAGGGTCAGTGGTCCCCGCAGAGAGGTCGGTATGGGGATGCGCACTGTTCCGCATAACCATTGCCTCCTATATCCTCCTCGAGGGCCAAACCGAGAAGGTGCTGGCAGGGCTGGATCCCATGGGTGTCCGCAGGAGACAAAGGCGAATTCCGGAGGAAAGACTAGGGCTGAGAAAGGCGCACCGGGAGCGGCTGGCAGGACAATTCGGCAGGCTGCACCGAATCGGGGTGCCCGCAGGGACTTGCAGACTGGAAGGGGTGTGTGGGGGCGCTGCCGTGAGGACGGATGAGGGAAAAGGCTTTTGATATCAGCAGAAGGGAAAAAGCCTGGAGCGGCGGAACGCTTTTAGTTGAGCAATAAGGATAGAAGGGTACTCTGGTCCCGAAGGCTGAGCAATGTCCCAGCTTTGCCCGCTCCTGCCCTCGTGTGTGGAATATGCTGGCCGTGTGAATGTGAAGGTTTCGCCAGGCAGGCGGCTGGGGTGAGGGGTGGGCGCAGCTCTGAGGATCAGACCAAATCTGGGGGAAGAAGGGGAGGCAGACCTTCGAGTCCTTGGTTTTGACTTTGCTCTGAGCCTATGATTGACTGTTCCGCTTCGCAGGAGGTCCAAGAGCCGAGCTTAGCCCACTGGGCTCTGGGAAAGACTCGACTGGGGCTAAGGCCGCCCGGAAGGCCAAGTCCGAGTTCCATTTCTTGAAGAGGCCGGGGCGGGTAAGGCTGTGACATTGGCCCTGGCGACTGGCTTCCCAGGAGCTGTTCTTTCTCAGGAGCTCCACAGCGCAGGCCAACTCCAGAAAACTGTCTTCAGCGTTAATTTCCTTTTATCGTCAACCCAGAGCCCCACCGCGGCTAATGCAAGAGGCCAAAAATGTTTGGAGGAAGAAAAACAAAGGCAGGAAGTGGCGGCGGCCTGACGGTGCGTGTGTGTCTGCAGAGAAGGGAGGCAGCCGGTTCAGTCTCTTCTTGTTTTTCCAAACTTCAAGGTCCAGGCAGCCCTCCGCGGGGCCTGGCCCCATCGCTCCCCGCGCGGCATTTGGAGGTGGCCACCCGGAGAGGAGAAGGCCGACGCCCGCGCCTGGCTTGTCAGGCGGAAACGGCTAACAAGGAGATTTGGTCAGCAAAACAGGCAGAGCCCTTCCGAGGCTTCGCCTGAGTTGGCCGCAAAGGTTGGGGGGGAGGGCTTGCACAGCACCTCCGGGACCCTCCTCGCTGAGGACGACCATCCCTGAGGCTTACGCTTCGCTCCACCGCCTTCGCAGGCGGAATATCGGAATAAAGTGTGTCCATGCGCCTCTGCCGCCTCTGCCGCCTCTGCTTCTTCTTGCAGCCGGAGGGGTCCGGGAGGCAGCGGTTAGGCGCAGTCGGGCAGTGCCCAGGCGGCGTGGCCTCTGGGCGGTCGGTGTGCACCGGGCAATGTGAAGCCCTGTCACCGCGGTTGTTGTGCTGGGGGCGTTTCCAGCAGTAATTCAAGGGACTTGAGCTGCAAGGATCGTCACTTGACAGACAGCTTAACACCCTCTCACTCCAAGAGAGGATAGAGCTGGGTGGTGGGGAGCACCTCCACACTCCAGGCTTCCCAGCTCCAACTGGCAAAGCTACTGGGCTACCCTCTTCTCTCCTTGGGGCTGGCTTGGGAGGCAGCAGCTGCTCCTTGTCCCAGAAATCTGAGAATTTGAAGTCCCCAGTGCTTGCACATGCAGCCCTTTGAATGCCCGGCATTTGTCTCAATGTCAATGCCAAGCTGCCCTCAGTCACCACTGTCCTTCCCGGGGGGGGGGGTTCTGTACCCCTTACAGTTCCTAATCCTGCCCTGCCTTCTTCCAGCCAGTCTCACCTGCTGGGACCTCCCACCTCTTCCCTACCTCTTTTGATGTCTCTACTAGACTGAGCAAGGGCCGAGGTGCCACAGGAGGGCACCCAATACTCAGGCACAGAGAAAGAGGACTGTTAGGTCCCTGACTCTACCCCTACTTTGGGCCTCCCTCCACCAGAGCCTGAACTGAGTTTCCCACCTCCCTTCTTTGGAATACTCCACCCCAAGGCCCCAACAAGTCCGGCTTATCTCCCTCCCTCTACCCTCCCTTCTCTACCCTCCTTCCTTCCCCAACACTTCCTCCTTTTCTGCAGACCCAGCTCCTACGTTTCTAGGCTGAGCAACCCAGATGGGATAGGCCTGGGAAGGGTCAGAACCCACTTGACAGACCGAATCTCACTCCTCGATGGCTACAGTTAAGTTTCTCTTTTTATGGATTGCTTAGGGCACCATCAATATTTTGCTTCCTTCTGCTTGCCTGAGCCCTTACTTTCCTCTGTCCACAAATATCACACTGTTTCTAGAAAGCTACACAGAAGAGTGTTTCAACCCTGGTGACCATATTGCACATAGGTGCAAGAACTGGCCGGGAAGCCCTGGGTAGAAATGGCAACGGAGCTCTTCTCCTCCATTTCAGGAATATCTCTTTCCAAATCGAAGGGTTCCTGGTGGCACATCTGTCTTCCGTGGTGAGCTGGGGAGGTGAGTTGTCTGGGAAGGCCCAGTATGTATTCTCAGGGCATGGCTTATTCCCAGATCATTGCCAATCCATCACATTTTCCAGTAGCTGCCCAGAGGCAGCACTGAGGCTTCAATTAAAAATCAGATCACCTCTATCACTACCAGGTGGAGGCAGGGGTTAATTTGTCTCTTTGTCCAGACACCCCACTCTCCCCCAAGCTCCCTTTCACTTCCCTAAAGCTCACAAACAGGTAATGCCCTGAAATTGACCTCATAATTCTGCTTGGTCTGATTGGCAAGTTCAGTCATCCTCCAAAGCCCCCAAATATCTGAAAAAGTCCATACCCTTCCCCTGGCCACTGCAGAGTGGGGCACAGGGCTCAGCTGAGAGTCTCAAGTACCCAAGCAATCTGGTTATCATTTACTTTAGTGAATCTCAAACTGAAGGGAGAAGAGAAGATTACTCCCTTTAATAACTATTTTTATTTTTATTGTTGTCAACGGGTTAGACATTTTTTTTTTTCCCCCTGCAGAGTGGAAACAAATGGGTTAGGTGAGGCTTTGAAGGGTGAAGGCCTAGTTCTTGTTGTCTCCCTTCCATTCCCCCTGCAGCTTCGGCCCAAACGGGTTTCCCCAGCAGAGTGTGCCTGTGATAAAGAAGACAAAAGGGGGTGGCCCAACCCGAAGTTTGACTCTGGTCCTAGGGTCTGGGTCCCCACAGCTGTAGCTCACAGGAAGCCCCCAGGCCAC